GTGGATGGGCTCGGGCTTGACCTGCGACTTTACCCTGAATGAAACGACAAGCGTCTAAGCGTCTGTGCAAAGGTTGAGTTTCATTCTAGACAAGTTTTATCGCGGCTAGCGAACAGAGGTACTGTACATATGTAGTAGTTCTATGTATGTTTGCTAAATATAGGGTTGTGCTCTTTGGCGACTGGGTGTCTGCATTGCGCCATGATTTGTGTATTTTGGGTCCCTCCGCACTTGGATGATTCCTGTGAGTTTATTACTCTGTTTTTCTGCCTGTGGTTTACTGGCATGTTGTGTGACATTGGCGAGTAAATGTACGGACAACTGGCCGATGAAGACATTTGGCTTGTTCCGCTCGTATTGACGAATTACTCTAGTCTCGGAGTGCATGATTTTTAATCTTAACCCTAGGCGCATAACGGTGGTGGCTTGATTGTTCATGTGTGTGTGACTGTCGTCATGGCCAAGTTGGACTAGAGATAATATCGGTTAGCTTTGACGGGTCGGTCTTGTTGAAGTGCTGTGAAGCCGGTCGCTACAAGGACCTTGGCTTGCTTCAGCATGCTTCATCCCCGTCAATAGGTTCGGCATATGAATATAGTTTTGCGCACGCCGTCGATGTCGACGAGAATGTCTTGACGAGACCGTCGCATGTTGATGCGCCACGATTTGCTCATTGGCGGGAAGGAACATGCTGGTCGGACGAGGAGGTCATCGGGCCAGGCGAAATTGCCTGATTCGAAAAAATTCAGATCCAAATCGTAGTAAGTACTCCGTAGTCCTTCGAAATCGAACGCGCCACTTGCGCCTCTCGGGTCAATGGAGGATTGCCTAAACAGACTTGGGCTGGCGCAATGTGAGTGTCGCCCCCAAACGCCACCATCGGCTTTGGATGCCCGAGCCCCTGATCTTTTTACTTGTTGCTAACACGGCCAATACTTGGATTGATAAAACAGGTTGCGCAGACGGCAATTCGGCGCATTGCTGTAGTCCGCTGATACAAGCGAGTTGAAACTGTGATTTGATGCTGTGGGTAGAGCCAGTAACACCGCCCTGAGACATGATATCCCTGCTTCACATTGAGGGTCTTGATAAATACTTTATTTCTTTTTGAGCTGGCGCCGTATTATGCTAGCGAGCGATGTTAGTTTCACGGGCTGTGTTACCGCCGTCATATTCAACTAGGCGATTGACCTACAGGTTTTCTTAATCCAGACACTTGACACTTAAACCCCATGGAATTGTATCTCATACGAAGGAACAATAATGACAGATTATGCAGACCCTTGTGAGCGCCTGTAGTTTCTTTTTTCAGTGTGGAATGCAGTCATGATTCCTTGTCACTGCTGACTCTGTGGTCATCTCGTTGGTGGTACATAGCGCCATACATTCGAAAACCGCGCTGTGACACCAGTCTCCCACAAGTCTCCCGTTTCTATGCATCATTTCCCTCCCGAGGTCACGATACACAACGATGGAGTTCTCCATCCATGTACAGGTAGCTAATTCGCTTCCATTGTGTCGGCGCCGGCGGTTGAGAGGTTGCATTCAGATCGACCCCGCCTTGAGATGGCAAGCAAATGTGGTTTTTAGACTATTGCACGGACGGCGATCGACAACGTCATGGTGTTCTTTGTTCAGACACTACCCCGACCTGCCCGACGTACCCATCTCGAGTCGTGGGTAGGAAAGGCAGTGGCGGGAGGCCTTTAGAGCAGCCTTCCGGTTCTCCGCATCTCCTTGTTCCCCGGAAACATGCTAGTGACCCATGGGGCCCTGCAGACTTGTCTTGGGGCTCCAGAATGCTCGCCCGAGCGGATGGCGTTTTTGAGCCGGGTTCTACAGGTAATAACGCGATGGGCTCATATCGCCAGGACGTTCATCCAGAGTCCGCCGGACAGGGAAGCAGGTTGTGCGGAGACGACTACCCCGAGTCGCCCAGACAAACTATTTCGACCGGCAAGGACGCACGGCACTGCACAAGCAAGGCTCAGGGCAGGCCGGTCGAGCAAGAAGAGCTGCATTGTAGAACCACAGGCTGCGGCAACGCCAAGCATGGGGTACATGACATATCTCTCCACTGTTACAGATGTCCTCTCACCCGTCAAGCTTGGCAGGTCTCTTGTCGGATGGTACCGTGGCTATGATGCTCGTTGGCAAATGTATTTGCAGGATTCGGCCGCATTGGCTTCGCTGTGGCTTTCAGTAGTAACAGATGTACTACATGAGAAACATGGCATTACCGCTCCAGGCTAGTACGTAGTTATTATACCTGCTGACGAGGACTTGCTTGCGGTTGAAAACCGCATACTCTGCACCACCGCACTTGTTCCAGATGACCGGATTGCCGCGTTCTGGATTGATATGCCCAAAGTCGACTTGTGAGTTGTATCGACTGATCTTGACTTGGTGCTCGAATCTCACATCATGATGCAATTAGACCGCCAACTAGCCAAAAGCCCCGGCCACAGGGAAGCTGTACATGACGCCGCCTTCGATTTAGTCTCTGGAGAGGTTGCGGCTCGTCTTCAGCGGAAAGAGACCGCAGATCGCATTCCCCAAGAGACTAGCCACCCAGCCACCAGCCACGCCCGCCCGTCAGTTGCTGCCGTTGACGGGTGCTAAAGATTTGTTTCGCGAGCCATACTTGGTGTAAAAGCGTCGAGGCAAATCTCCGAATCCAGAGCCTCGTACCAGGATCGGTGTTTTCATCCAGACTCTCGCTAAAAAAAAGATAGGCGCTCTGACGTGGCCAAGACACCTCTCTGGCCCATGTTTCCTATGCTGAATGTGAATACTGAATAGGAATGCGAAAGCTTTGACTTTTGTGCATATATATCGTTGCAGCCACGCCGTTAGACATCATACATATTTGTCCAGAGTCACAGAGAACTGCCTGCTATGGAGTACGGAGCACCACAATGGAACCGTATATAGTAATAACACCCTCATCAATTACAAATAACGCCTCTAAATGTTGGTTGTTGAAGGATTCGCCGATCGCTCGATCCGGGGCCCTGCATATGTAATAGTACCTGCTAGCTGTGTTGCAATGGCCAGGATTTTCGAGCCAGTGTTGGGGGATCATTCCCAATCGGCTGTAAAGTAGTTACCATCTTGTATCACTCCGGTTGTACTCCGTACCTTGGTCTTGCTTCTATCATATACGTAGGTTGTCGACTTTGCAGTCACTTTAGTCTGGTCGTCGACGACAGGTCGAGAACAACTGAGCCGCGAGCAAATTTGCTGCCACGTTTCCCTGTCGGTGATATAGCGGATCTTCGGGAGATCAGTCTGCGCCCGCATGAAATGCCTGGTAGCGGGCGTTAAACAAGGAACTGTGTTATCGATCGATAATCCGCAGGAATATCTCCTCTGCCAAGGCGCGTGCCAAGAGGTGCGAAAAATGTTCGAAATTGTCTATGCACCACATGCAACCATTGTGGCGCCATTGTGACAGCGGCAGTCGCTTCTGCATCCGTCTGTTTTCACAAATCCATTCCCGGAATTTATTTGCGCTTGTATTCCATAAGCCGTCGCAGCACATTGACTTGCTGGCTCACGAGGTCGTGCCTTGAGCGGCTTGGATGTATGTACGTGCGAGAAAAACAGCGGTTCTGCTGTCCCACCTACTTCGTACATGATCGGAAGGTTTCTTTCTTTTCTTTGTGGCTTAGATTGAAATATGCTCGTAATGCCGCCTCTCGCCGGACTAACTGCCCCATTAACGCGAGTCAATTGCGCAGAGTGGGTTCTGAGAAAAGAAACTTGTCTGGGGTCTTTGGGCGGGGAGGATCATTGAGGACACCATAAAAGACCCAAAGCTAAAAGTTTGGGTCACTCAATTAAAAGTTGTCATACTCTGAAACACATGGACCTGCTGCTGAGGGTGGGCAGACGAGCGCGAAAGAGGGGTCTGGTCCGGTTCGTGTTGGTATTCCGGCGTCTTGATGCCCGCCTGCCACTGTCAATGATGGAATACCCCCGCTGGGCCATCCGAGGGTATTTGAATTGTCTCGCTGCTCCCCGCTGGCCTCTCTCAACAGGCTATTGAAGCAGCCTGGGTGTCTCTCGGTGGCACGCAGAGACACGGCGATACGCGAAGGTTGCGAGTTGGCTCTGGTTGTCCTGGACTCCTGGAGCAACAAGCGATCCTCGACTCCCGAGTCCCGACCCACCGCCAGGGCACTAGCTGGCACAGGAAATGGAGCCAGGCGACTTGGCCAAGACGAAAAAGGCTGGCTGGCTGGCCTGGTCTAGCCCATCGACATCCCTTCGTCCAGACCTGGCACCAAGACGCGCGCCCACCTGCTGCGACGTCGACAGGGGTTGGCCGACAGTTCCAGGGAGGCCTTAAACAGGCCCATTCTAGCTCTGTGCCGCCCCAATCTGGGCAGCTTCCCGCTCGTCCTAGTGATCGCCGTGGGCTCAAATGTTCTTGTCGTCTGGTAGCACTTGAGCGCTAGTACGGAGTAGTTGCCGTGAGGTGAGCTTCTATGGAGCAACCGAGTACATGCCGGTACGTACCTGCACCTCGGACTGGTGCCATCCCGCGTCGCATGTCCCATCCTTCCATTGATATCCACACACGATGGCTTTGAAGCTCGCGCTGGCCCGGACGAGAAACGAAGCAGTGCAACCCCCGGCCGCTTTCTTGTCCATGAGTCTGCGGAATCCCCCGTGCTATGCAGTCGACCAGAACGAACCATGATTGTGTCAGGCACTCACACCGTCGTGGACCCTGACAAACCGCCCTCCTCGGGAGGACCCAACGGCCACCTCTGTCTATCCCCTCCATCCGTTGCTTTTAACCTACTGTTCACCCAGTGAGCTTATAAAATGGGAGACCCTCCCTCCCCACCTCTCTTGGGACCTCTCTTGATCTTGTCTCGTCGTGCTGTTGTGATATGAGCTCCTCCCCAGTGTGAAACCGAGTTGCAGTCCTCTATATATCAAGAAGAAAACTCCTTGCTCGCCTGATTTGAGTAGCTTCTCCCACCACAATGGCTACCGAGAACATAAACTCCCCAACCACTTCCGTTGAGAAGGAGCCGAACGGTGTCAATGGTGTTCAACAACGTCATTACCACCACCACCACGACATCTCGCAGGTGGATTCAGGCTTTGCCGCTGCATCAGGAGGCTCACTGAACCCTGGGCTGTGGAAGCCTTATGAACACCGCAAATTCGCTAACCCAGCTCCGCTTGGCCTCTCTGCTTTCGCCTTGACCACTTTCGTGCTCTCTGCTATCAACACCCACACCCGCGGTGTCAAGGAGCCTAATATTGTTGTTCCCTTGGCGTTTGGATATGGCGGCCTGGTGCAACTGTTGGCTGGCATGTGGTAAGTTCTGTGCTGGTTTCTCTGAGGACGAATTTGGAGTGTTGAATCTAATCAACTACGTCAGGGAAATTGCCTGCGGAAATACCTTTGGTGCTACTGCTTTGTCCTCTTATGGTGGCTTCTGGATTTCGTATGCTATCCTGTTAACCCCTAATTGGGGAATTACTGCGCCGACCGGCCCATACGAGGGCCATGTTTCCAGTCCTATTGGGTTTTTCTTGACTGGCTGGTTCATCTTTACGACGATGCTCCTTCTCTGTACCCTTCGATCGACTGTTATGTTCTTCCTACTTTTCTTCACTCTGGATCTGGCTTTCCTATTCCTTGCTTGCGAGCAGTATGCCAATGACATGGGCAACGCAACTGCCGCTGTCGCTCTGCAGAAGACTGGCGGCGTGTTTGGCTTCCTTGCCGCCTTCCTTGCCTGGTATTGTGCTTTGGCTGGTATTCAGGACAGCAGGTTTGTTCAATCCTATCACGGCCAAGATCGAAGAAAGTTGCACCATATACTCACTAATTTGCAGCAACTCTTTCTTCCAGGTTCCCGTCTTCCACTTCCCCTGGTCCGAAAAAGCTCGTGAGGATCGCAGAAAGAGCGAGCGTCAACAGGTTTAAGAGCATCGCCCTCATTTTGTGACTCGATTCTAACGAAGGAGTTGGTAAAGGAAAAGAGGAGAAATGATACCAATCGAGAGGGGAGCATTTGTTTAAATATTGCTTTTGGGCCACGGCGTCTAGGTCTGATTTGTCGTATGTACTGCTTTATTTTGCTATCCATCGAAGAATAGCTATTTTTGTGTATACGATAGTCTTGAGAGCTACGTTATTAATGCCCGCCTCTGATGTTGTCTTATTTTGTTTCATGTAGTCGCTTTGAAGTGTTCTGTCGAACCTCAACGATAATTAAGTGAAGCCGGCGAGTATCTGGGGATGGATCTTCTAGAAGTGGGCTCCGCTATCCACGTTGTAAACAAGAAAATTTCCGCGTTATACTTAAACATTGCAGTCTAGAGGAGATTGGCGGTCGCCGGTGTTGGGTACGATATACGGCACTAGTCTCCCGGGCCGTAACGAAACACCCACCAAGATCGCTTTGATCCGGCATCTGCTTTCTAAAATGAGGTGGGCTGGACCTTGATATGTTTCCCCACGTGGAAACCGCGTGCATATTGATAAATTAACGAGGCAGAGCCCAAAATCATCAACCGATGAGTAACGCGTAGACGTGTTGTCAGCGGACTTCATCGGCGGTCTCCGAAGCCAGCCTAAGGCTGACTGACGGTCGGCCGAGTCCGCGTACCTAAATGACTAGTAGGTACCTACCTAGGTGTCAACTGTCGTTAATGAACTCGACCCCTTCATGACGGAAAATAAGTTTTTGAATTTGATGAATTATCCAGTGGGTTTTCTTCATTCTTCGGGAGAAGCAATCTGAGGTTAGCTTTCTGAGCCAAGATGGGAACCTCAAATTCAGTCACAGTTCCGTAACGCCGGATTATAATCCGAGAATCGGAGGTGGTCTTCGGTTATGCGCGCACGAGAGAGACCCACACTTCGTAACCGTCAGACGCATCGACTATTCTACCGTCATATTGTTGTCGTCCAGCAACAGGAGCGTTTCCTGCAACAGGGCCAGTAAAGATAGCCAACCTACCTATGTGTGCATGGTTCTAGGGAGGAGCCCCAGTACGACCAAGATGGACTTGGCGAAGTCCAAGAAACTACCTGGCATCATTCAACCGGATTGATTTGCCGAGGACTAATCATAGCGGACACAGTTGATTGAGGGGTTGGCCCTATTTCCGGCCAACATTTCCGTCATATGCCCTGAAGTGGCGGTTGAAGATCCCAAAAAAGTGGTCCGCTATGCCGTTTCTGGGGGCGGATTTTTAATCGCTTTTCATCAAGGCCGCGGGATCGGATTCCGATGCGCCTAGTCATGAATTTCAGCTCTTCTTCCTCTTTTTTATCTGGGGATGGAGGAAATAGTATCCTCTATTTGTTCCTCACCATCTACCCAACTTTCTCGCGACGGCAACGAATCCTGTATCGCTGATATAGGGTGAACATGGAGTGGAATATGGACACGGCCAACCAATCGCCGGCCAAGAAACAGCTTCTGAACCGAGACACTCTGGTACAACCAAGCAGTGATGCAGGTGCGCAAGGGATTTCGAATCCAGAGAAACGGAACTTGCAATCGTCAATAGAAGCGCAATCCAATTCCGATGCCAATTATGTCCCGCCCCCACCCCCAAATGGAGGCTATGGATGGGTTTGCACCGCCTGCGTGGCTCTTGTCAATGCACATACCTGGGGCCTAAACTCAAGCTATGGTGTCTTTCTCGCCCATTATCTGGCAAACAAGACGTTTCCCGAGGCCACCCCACTGCAATATGCCTTTGTGGGCTCACTGAGCATTAGCTGCGCACTTATCATCTCTCCAGTCGCAACAATATGTGTGCGAGAATTTGGAACCAAGCCAACCATGTTTATGGGTGTTATTATGGAAACAGCAAGTCTCATCTGTGCTAGTTTAGCAAGCAAGATCTGGCATCTCTTTTTAACGCAGGGCGTTCTCTTTGGCCTTGGCATGGGGTTCTTGTTTACACCATCAGTTGGAATTGTGCCACAGTGGTTCACCACAAAACGATCTCTAGCCAATGGATTTTCCGCTTGTGGCTCTGGCCTTGGGGGCCTACTATACTCGTTCGCTGCTGGTGCTATGATCCGGGATATGGGCCTAGATTGGGCGTTCAGAATCCTAGGAATACTGGCCTTTGTTGTCAACACGGCCTGTATCTTACTCATCAAGGATCGAAATAAGATTATTGGATCCAGCCAGTTGGCGTTTGACACGACACTCTTGAAACGACCCGAATTTCTGTTGCTTCTTGGGTTTGGTTGGTTTAGTATGCTGGGTTATGTCGTGCTTATCTTCAGTTTAGCCAACTATGCGAACCAGATCGGACTCGGGAGCTCACAAGCTGCACTCATCAGTGCATTCTTTAACCTGGGTCAAGGAGTTGGTCGGCCTTTCGTGGGGTATTTTAGTGATCAAACAGGTCGAATCAACATGTCTGGATTCATGACGTTCCTGGCTGGTGTGTTTGCGTTGGTTATCTGGATCAACGCCAAAGTCTATGGCGTACTGATCTTCTTTGCCATTATCTGCGGCAGTGTTGCTGGTACTTTCTGGACCACAATTGGCCCAGTTACAGCTGAAGTGGTTGGTTTGAAGAACGTTCCTTCCGCACTGTGCTTGACTTGGCTCATCATCGCAATGCCTTGCTTATTTAGCGAGCCTATTGCGCTTCAAATCGTCCAGGGCACTGGGAGCTACCTGGGGACGCAGTTATTCACCGGATTGATGTATATCGCTGCAGCAATTTGCCTCATGGCAGTGAGAGGCTGGAAAGTCGGCGAAATTGACGAGATTGCTAGGATGCTTAACGAATCCCCCGACAATATTGACCGAGTTAAGATTGAGAACAACGAAGAGCTGTGCCAAGCAGGCAGGAAAGCGGGTAGAAAGAAGATTGTGACCGACTGTTGTCGATTAGAAAAGGTCTAAAGTGAAACCCGAAATAGGAATCACAAAAATCATAGAGGTTTCCGCATGGTATCTGTATGTCATCCACAGCGTTAATTGCATTAGCAGCGAACAAAGGGAAAAGGGTCGTACATAGCATAAGGTACTCATCCGCGCAAGTGGTTCAATTAACGAGACGTTATAATATGATTGAGCGGCGTGACCTCAGCTTACGTATTTGAACAGGTATGAGCTTTATAAATATCACACGACGACGCGGTGTTGAATTCAATAGAACAAATATGCGTCATTTGACTATGGATGACTTGTTTGACGTTGAATGTGTTGTGTGTTAGCACTTGACCCTCTATGGACTGCGATACAACCCTTGTCAAATTGCGCACGTGAACTGGCGTTCAACTGGCAGGCGCCACCAACGCGTTCCCCCAGATGTCGCCCCGCCAAAAGTTCACGTTCTTCCGGCCTCAATCAGAAACACCTGGTTTGCTCAGTCTTTCGTGAATACCTGGAGACATGCCTGCTCTAGTACGGAGCCTCGAAAATGTGGCTCCTGGAAAGTAAAGATGCGTTTGATGGTCCGTCGATGTGAACTGATTACGCCATACTGGCCCGACTAACTACTTTGTAGGACGGCGCCTCTGGCTTCGTCCCGGCAAGACTTACTTGTTTGGCCGAACGGCATCTGAGCGTACGTTATTCCAAGCTCTTTCGCTTCTTTCATTCATTCGAATACTGACTTCCTATTTCATTAGCGGGACAGCTGGCCATATCTCACACAACTATTTCGCGGAAGCACTTGACGATAACTGTTGAAACCGTCAAGGCCGGATTCGCACAGCATTTGACTGGTCGGTCGAAGCTTACAATCGAAGATTTGGGCACGAAGATTGGTACAGTTGTAAATGGCCGGAAAATTCGTGGTGAAAAATATGTTGCCGCTGAAGCGGAACTTGAGGTTACGATGGGCAAATGCCCGAGCAAGTTTAGGTATGGTATGATTTTGTGCTGTTGGCTTCCTATAACGCTCATGGTAATATAGGATAACTTGGTTTCCGGTGGCCTTTACTTTCTCATTCACCAGCAAAGAGCTACAAACGGACCCGCTCACTACGCTCCGAGAACGATTTGAGCAACTTGACGTTAAGCTTCTGACAGATTATAATATCGAGCACACAACCCATGTAGTGTCAAGAAAACGCAATACGGCAAAAGGGTTGCAAGCCCTCATAAACGGAAAATATGTTGTGACAGAAACCTTTTTGGACGCGATAACGCATGCCGCAGAAGCAAATGACGCTTCAGAGCCTAGCTCTTTGGAACAGGATTTCGACACATATTGGCCAATTGCAATGGAGCACCTACCACCGCGTGGAGGCGAGCCCGTACAGCATCCGGACTCGATATATGCTCCGGATCGCGACCGGAAAGATGTTTTTGAAGGCTATACCTTTATTTTCTACGACAAAACTCAGTACAACAATTTAATGGCGCCAATTACGAATGGTGGTGGAAAGGCCATTTTTGAATCCATCACAACTGGTGAGACTCACACGGACGAATTCGTCCGTTTTGTGAAACAAGTTGCGGGAGAAAAGGGCCTTGGCTCTTTTGATGATGGAAGCGAAGGCAAGGGTGTGGTTCTTGTTAGGTATTTGCCAGCTAAAGGAGGACACATCGAGTGGTACACAGAATTCATCACTGCTGTATCATTACGGCTGGACCACAGACCCATAGAACAAAATGAGTTTTTAGAGGCCATCTTGACCAAGGATGCCAGAATACTTCGGCGGCCGCTGGAAGTTGAATCAGCACCAGCTAGTCAAACAGCGGAAAATGGCGAACCTGAACCATGCTTGACGGAAAATGTTACCAGCGTACAAACCGAACCACTTATCGAGGAACAGCCACAACCAAGAAGGACTCGAACCACGAGACCAGTAAAGCGACGGTTTGCAGGATTTGACGATGATGCCGACATTGACATGGACGACCCAGTCGTGACTTCCCTTCCTCGAGACTCCGCGCCAGACCGGGCGGAAAAACAGGATGAAGGGGGCCTGTTCGTTTCACAGGAGCCTGATATGGCCGGATCACAACCACCCCCTGGAATATATGATAGTCAGGCACGGAAAAGGACAGCCTCAATAGAGGATGATCTCATGGATGGCATGGCACCAGCAGTAGCTAGATTCAAGCGACAACGGCTAGAAAGAGGTGAAGACTTTGCTCCACCTTCACCGTTGCCCGAGCCAGAACCTGCCACAGTCACAGCGAAGAAGACAAAGGAAAAGCTGAACGTTCTGGCCATGGCTGCTCGTCACCGTGAAGAGGAGGAGGCCCGGGCTCGTGCTGAGCGTGAGGATCTGGCTAATCTGCCTGACGACATTGACCTAGCTGAAATCCGCCGTCTGAACATAGTGGAAGAGATGGAGATTCGCATACCGATTCGAGATGCCAGAACCAGAGAGAAAGATGTTGTTGATGGCCGTTGGAATCCGAAATGGAATGGAATGAAAAATTTCAAAAAGTTCCGATCACGAGGCGAAGCAACGGGTAGACTACCCGTCAGAACCATCGTTGCCCTGCAAGAGGTCAAGAACAAGGAGTTTGGAATAGGTGATAATTACTGGCTGGAAGATGAAGGTATTGAGCGGAAGAGGTCACTAACTAAGGTCCGCTCCGCTCAGAGCACGCAAAACTCAGCGTCTGTGGCAGAGCCATCGCCTCGACACCGCGCCACTCATGTTGTCGTTTCAGAGAGTGAAGAGGAAGATGACGCACCTGACAGTGTACGACCCGGAAAACAGACAGGTTCTGTGGGAACAAGTAGCACGAAAGTCACGGCCACACCGTCACAAACCACATCGACTAGTTCATCCCGACAGGCAAGAGCAACACAAGAGAAGAGGTCTGCTGTGGAGTCATTGTCGGGCCAGCGAGCCAAAAGACAAAGGTCAGCGTTACGAGCTATTCAAGCTGATAGCGATGATAGCGAAGATGAACTTAAGTTTAGATTTGGTAAGCGACGATAGCTGGGAGTCATAATACCCAATCGCGATGTTACGGTTTTGTGTACTCTATTTTCTGTCAGGGGTATCTTCTCTAAGTATATAAGTCCGTTGTGGCGGGTCTATCCTAAACCGGCCAAAAAGCTGTACAAAAATCAAAGCTAACAAGGTTCATGACCGTGTTGAAAGTCTAATCCATCTTATCCATCTCACTCTCCTGCGAACCATCATCCGGTTCCTCTACCAATAGTCCAACTAAACACGCAGATAACATGGTTTCGTAATTAACCCAAGGGTGGATCTCACCGAATAACTTGGTACCATCTCTGGCAGCTCCCCTCATTAATTCCGGAATACCTCCAGGATGGAACTTGGCATATGGCGTAATGTTGTACACCTTGCCGTTCAACGCCATCCAAGCATCCTTGCCCTTGCGACCCGTCTGTTTCCTCAACATGGACGGCGTAACGCGAAGATATGGCGTTGACGGCTCGACACCTCGCAGGTCAGCGTTAGGCCCAGATATACGTGCCCAGTCCAGCGGCGAGTGGCCTGGGTCGAGCAGTACTTTGCGGCTCGGTTTTTGGGGCTTGCTTGAATGCGTCGGCGGAGGGGTGAGACCAGCGCCGGGGACAGATAGCCCTGGTGGTCCGCGGTTTGGAACAGGTCCGCGGGCACGCTGGGCCGAGTTGGGCGCTGGGAATTGAGGCAGCGTTGGCATGCGTCCTGCGGACAGACGTGCCGGTAAAGGAGGAGGAGGCATCATGCTCGACGAGGATTTGGACGATGTGGGCGGTTCGGGTGACAACGAGAAGCTAGGTACTGGATCGGATGGCTTGGTTGCCATTGCTTTTGGCGTAGTTGAACCTTCGGGCTCGTCGATCATGAGCGTGGGCAATTCGATGACGGATGGCGGAGGGGAGGGAGGCATCACTGCGGCATCTTTCGATTGCTTCGACTCTGCTGGGGTTGCTTTCTTTGCGAGGTCGTTCAAAGAGTGTAGAGGTTCCTCAATGGAAAGGGCATCTTCTTGTATCCTCGGCGCCGTGTCATCCTGGATGCGCTTTTGTCTTGTTGGAGTGTCTGCAATTACGCCTCCAGAGGGGCGCCATTGAAGTAGCTTGTGCGCTAGCCAGCCTGGCGGGCGGATGATTACGTAGATGACGGAGGCAACTATGAGGGAGATACCGAGGAGGCCCATAGTAAGTGGTCGCGATGGGCCGTGATCTCGTGCGGTCGCGAAGGTAGGATTGGTGTTGGAAGCTTTGGTGGATGGTCGAGGTTAAAAGCCGACTTTGATGACAGATGTTGAGGTTATTACTGGCAAGTGGGAGCATGTGCGCGGCTACTGGCAAGGGATGCCAACTAGTGGCTCAGGGCGCAGCGGGGCCGCTACATGTATTGACGCTTTCAGTTTAGAGGCACGTCTGGTGGGGCCTGGGACCTGCAACTGGTCTGGTTCCAGAAGTCAAACATGGAGAGAGTTAAGATGGACACTGATGGTGTCAGTCTACTTCAAAGCCACAACCATCTTCCCTCCAGCCTCACCCGCCTCCATGACCCGATGCACATCTCGAATTTCACTCTCCCCAAAGCCAAACACCTTCCACGGCCGGGCATCAAACCTGCCTTCAGCCGCCTTGTCGATAATGTCCCTCAGCGGAACATCCGACACGGGAAACTCGTCGGACCCGAACACAAAGCTTCCAAAAAAGCTGAAATGAACACCGCTAGCCATTTGCAACAACGGATTGAACCCGGGCTTCGGTCCAGGTCCCTGAATGGGATCAAGTCCGCCTAACCAGCCCGCGAGGCACAAACGGCCGTCCCTCCTGACCAGTTTCAGGGACTCTACCACAGTAGAATTCCCAACCAACTCCAATACAGCGTCAAACTTGCCGGAAGCACCTTGCTCTTGAAGTCTATCTCCAAGATTTGCGCCTTCAAGAACGACATTCGTCACGCCGAGCCTCTTCAACTCGCCAAACTTGGATTCCGAGCGAGTGGTCCCTGTAACCACTGCTCCCGCGTCAACTGCCAGGTTGACTGCCGCGCGGCCAAATGACGACGTAGCACCCCGGATCAACAGCCTTTGGCCGGCCTTCAGGTCCAAGTTACGAAAAAGACACGTCCAGGCTGTTGCGTAGCTCTCTGGTAGCGCCGCAACGTCGGCCCAAGGCATGGGCAGCTCGTCACCGGGCGTGCCAAGCGCAACAATGTTGTTCACGCTCGCGACGGTGTACTCTGCGTAGCTGCCTGGGATTGTGCGACCCAGGCCGCCCATTAGCGCGGCGACGGGTGTTCCTGGTGAGAACTCGCCGCCGGGGCAGGCCTCGATGGTGCCGACACATTCTATGCCGCTAATAGGGACGGATTCGGCCCATTCGCCGCGGCGCATGTGCATCTCGGCGTGGTTGATGCCGAAGGCCTGGATGCGGATGAGGGCGGTTTTTGGAGGAGGCGCTGGTTTGGGGACCTCTTTGACGACGAGAGTTTCGGGAGGGCCGAATGCTGAGATGACGATGGCTTTCATGGACATGTTGTGTGCAGGGTTTGTGTTTCTTTTATCTGCGAGTTTAGTATGCCGGGTCAGCAGATTCGCGTTTTTGAAGTGATGCTTCATATAACTGCTGGCTGTGATGCGGGATTGCTCAAGACTACGACTACCATCGCAGCCTAGCCTTGCATATATACTACGAAAGTATAAATCGACGTTGCGATTTGCGAAACCGAGTGACGTCGAATTTCTAAGCCGTTTCAACTCTAAATTGACGCCTCATAGTTTGTGTCCGACTTAGATGCCGAATCAAGAAGGCGATGTGGAATCGGAATCAATTGCAACGTTTGAACGGCGTTTATTCCTGCCATTTCCCCACCTTTTGGCGCGCCACGGCATGGAATCAAGCAGATGCCCATGAGGCCTTGGTCAGCTCACTGCGAGACCGAAGCCGTGGTTGTTTCTTTCCTTCTTATTATTGTTTTGTGGATCAAGAGTGAGGAATTTCATGATTGGTAACAAATCGAATTTAATAAGCTCGCCAGTGGTACAATACACCTCTTTGACCAAATTATTGATTGCCTGTCGGATCTACTTTTCCGAAGCAACGAAGAGGACGCAGGCCATGTAAAGGAAGACTATTCTTAGCCGTTTGAGATGTGATCAGCGATACGAAACCATGTGGTAGGATCGATCTTAGACTCAATATATGCTATGTACAATTTAAACACGCGAGGACGTTGGAGAGCTGGTTTGGCGGCATTAATGGTGGCTGAACTTTGCACTTGGGGTGGCGAACTTGAGAGGGATGCGTTTCACATGTCAACCTCGAGATATTCGAGAACTAGTGAGTCATAGCACAACTCACTTCCGCTGGAACGCTGGCTGACCAAGAGATGCGGTTGTCCATGGGCAGGTAGGTTTCGCTGAGCTCCATCGACTCTCCCAGTTGGCTCGGCCTAAGGTTTATCTAGATAACATGTTTCTTTACACTGCCTATTCTGTCAAATCACATTGCTCTGAGTGGCTGTTGCAAGCATGCATGACTGAGGTCAACCCGCGGGTTGGTTCGCGTTTTGTGGACGCATAAAGCAAGTGGGCCTGTCATTTTTAATCTCGCTCCGCGTGTCACGTCTTGCATAACCAAGTACCTACTTTAAGTACGGAGTACAGAGTAAGTAGGTCGTATTTCGCAGGGCAATATCAGTCAAAGCTAGACTCGAGGTGCTCATGCCTTCATGAGAGAGTCAGCAGCATCCAAGGCATTGGCCGCAACAGTGATGATTACTTTGTTTGCTGAAGATCCTCTCCCACACAGTGCAAAGACAGGCAAGGCATGAGTGATGCTTTTAATAGCTGCGGAATGAGAGGTGGGGTTTGGTTGCATTGAAGTGTGGAGGTGGCTAGAGCGCGTGTATGTACAAACAAAGCCTTGAATAACACGTGCACAAGGCCGCAAGTCAGGGTTTCAGTGGCATGGCGTTCCAAATAACAAACATTGAAACATGGCACAAACGCGGCCCGGCAATGTCAGACCTACCAGGTGGCTGTATATGTACAGAACCTTTATTAGTAGTATGTATACCAGCACGTCTGTTGTAGAATAGATTTTCCCACCAAGAAGTATACACTAATTTATTGCAGTATACATGTATGGTAATATGGAGCGCGATAGCTGGGTATCTGGTCTGCTCAAATACTTTTTGCCTGCCCCTGTACCTGCAACTCCCGAAGGCACACATCTACGCGTGCCATGTTTGCCATCAGCTTGGCCAAAAAGAAAGAGCCAGTGACGCACGGGGGATCTGCCAACACTATGTTTTGAAAAGTGCTCAAGTTGGAAGCGTGCGACGGCTCCATAGGCTTGTCGCTGGCTAGACCACAAACATTGAATCGTTTACTCCGTACTCCGTAGCGGTTGGCTGATCGCCCCTTGACCCCAGTTCCCAAATAAGCTAATGAAAACATCTGATCGTTTTGAAATGCAAGTTTATGCACGATGCAAGTGCTATGGCTGAGTCGATTCACGCCTTTTTTTCCCTTCAATGTTCTTCTGCTCCTTCTTTGCGCCTAGCTTAAGGCAATGTAGGTTTATCGATCTTTCCAAGTTCACTTTCTGACCTTGTCCACCAATTCGTCACATATCTGCACATGTCCGGTCCCGCCGCGCCGGTCCGCCCCCTGATTCATGAAGTTGATGCATATGCCGTCCATCAGCTCAGACGACACCTGTCCAACTTCACTCTCCCTCGTATCAGCCAGATGCAGCCGAGTCGTTGTCGTGCACTTGCACCTTGACAGGCCGGGAAATGCGACGCCTCGACTTTGCTTCTGGCTGCCAAAACACCCGACCCGAGACCAAAACCACCGGTGCCGCAGCGTCGACACCCATCAGGCCGTCCAAGTCGTCCATGCCGTCGAGTTCGTCTGTTGCATCTGCTCCCGCAGGGACGCCCACGCCCGCGGCCGCGCCCCCTGCCCGCAACATAGCGACGACGACTCGCCGGATTGTCTCTGCTCCTTCCTCTTACTCGCCATCACCCCGCCAGACTCCGACGCTGAAGCCCCGGGTAACCACTACAGTGTCACCTACAGTGGCGCCAAGAGGGGCCCCGACGCAGCCGCACCTGCCATTGTTGTCACGCCACAGTGCCCGGCACCTGCCCAGGCTCCCCACTCCTGGGCTGGCCGCTAACACCACCAATTCCTCCACCACGCCGGCGCCAGCTGTTGCTGCTGTCGTTGCTACTACTGCCGGTGCGTCCCGCGCGTCGTTGCGTTCGTCCTCTCAACACCACAAGCAACATGTCATTTCGCTAGCCGTGAAGACGCGCTCCCCTCCAGCGAGCCTTACGAATATGCCTCCCGGCGAAAGGCCTCGACAGCCCCAGCTGAGTGCTGCTGCGGCAAGATCTATTAACCGAACCCCTCTGACTCCTAAGATTGCCGCCAAGGGACCTCCTGTGACCCCTCTGGCAAGACGGCCTCACTCTTCGACCCCGACGCTTGCTGGTTCTCAAAACCCGCGAGACGATGTTTCTACTCCCATAACTGCCTTTTTGACTCATAATATTACCCCGCGCTCGGGTACTAGGCAAAGCCGGGTTGATAGTGCAAATTCCACCCCGAACGGTACCCCCAACACTGAGAGAACGAGCGACGGTTTTGAAAACAATAACAACAATAACAACAACGCCAGCAGACTTGGCCTGGGGGCATCCCCGCCTGCGAATGACCTACCTAGACAGGCAGCATCTCAGTTGGATCTTCCCAGTGACTCCAATGACTCCAGCAAGTTCTTCTATGCTAGCGACGCAAGATGCATCCAACAGACAGGCTTGCAAAGACCGGGATCGGTTTCTCAGAAGTCTGCCAACACCTTCTTCTATGCCAATGGGTCAACGGCCGATGGAGGCCGCAACATTAGCCCGTCGTCTAACGCTGCATCGATTTCTCTCGCGAGCCCGAATCCTGAATCTGCAACAACCAAATTCTTCTACGCCAACGGAAAACCTGACATGTCCCTGAGGCCTGGTATAATCCAGTCCACCTCGGAATCCGTTGTGTCTTCAAACTCTCGAATAGCTACTTCACGGCCACCTGCCGGCAACCCTCATGCTGCATTTAACGTTCCGCCGCCTCAGCGACCAGCGTCACCAATCAAGGCAGCATCAACTCCCATGTCGCAAACCTTGAGAAACAATGTCGCCTCGCCACCATCTCCAAAACGAACCTCCCTTGTATCATCCCCTCCGTCATTACCACAGCAAGCATCCTCTGCTTCTCGAAGAAAAGTAAGCATAGACACTGCGCCGAAGGAGATGGGCGGGCACAGGAGAGCAGGAAGTGTTCCTGGTTTTGAGCCACTGACAGTTGCTCGGTTCAACTTGCCAACGAAATCCTCCGAGACAGCTTCGGTGTCTCCACCGTTGAGCCCTGGCTTCTCGCAGCCTGCCATGACGATGGCCTCTATTTTGCAAGTCGCCGATGAGCTACAAGACGAAACCGAATCAAGAGAGGGGGATGCCCAATCTGATGTGTCCCAAGTACCCCAGAGCCCTACGAAGTCTGCACATTTTGGTGATTCTGTCAGCGAACTCGTTGCCAATGCACGTCGAGAACGCAAGGTGCAGGACCTGGAGATTACCAACGCATCTCTAGAAGCTATCAACAGGACGCTAGAGCGGCAGCTTCGCAAACAAACCGCCGAGCTGCGACGCTATCGCCGTCTCTCTAGATCAGGAGCCCTGTCAGCAGCATCTAGCCGGGTGACTTCTCTAGCTCTAACCGAGCCACCTACAGATATGTCTGACGTAGACGAAGAGGACGAGATGGAGTTGGAAGAGGATATGGATTCGTTTGACGACTCCGATCTGTCGAGCAATGATACCATGAGCACAGAAGACATCATGTTATCAAGTGCGAAGCTGGATGCTCGACGAAGACGAGATGAAAGGCGGCTTCACCTAGACCTCACCAAACACCAAGAACTGCTTATTGACAGTCAGAGGATCAACCAAAGTCTGAAACGCTGCCTCGACTTTACCGAGGCTCTAATCAAAGAGGGCCAAAAGGCCCTCCAATATAACGTTCGAGTGTCTGATGTTAAGCTTGGCGGACGGGTGTTAGCGCCATCCGACGACTATGAGGACGAGGTCTCATATCAGGAAGAAGACACGATACAGAGTGGTAGCCACGGCCTGGAACCGCCTTGGCCAAAGACTTCCCAGGATCGGGACAGCGGGATAGAATTGCCAACAGACGGCGGCTAATACCCTCATTTACTGCTTGTCGCGACTAGACTAACAGGCGCAGCGGACGCTTGTAGCCACTTCCAACTTGGACCATCACCACTCACCGAATACATTCATTTTGCTATTTTCTTTACCACCCAAAATAATGTTTTACAAATTCCTACTGCGCGCACACGGTCGCAGCAGACACCAAGGGACAGCATACATGGCGCAAAAACTGGGTTTCACGGCGTTTCGAACATTTTGCATGCGCTTTCTTTACCTGGCCTTTTTCATCATTCGCCTCAAATTTCCAGCTCTTGATACATACACTTTATCCTACAAATTCACGCACGAGCGTACTCATTCACGCATTCGTCTCGAAAACAATGGATCGTTCAGCCTCGTCCTTTATACTTGCGTCCTTGCTCACCGATACCCCCGCCGCTGTTGCGATTCATCCATATGTCCACTGAAGCTGGATTTATATTATCGTTGTCTACGTTGTTCTGTCTCTTTTTGTTTTCTTTTGTCGCTTACAAGTTTCGTTTCTTGTGTAAAAATCCCAGATACCCCAGATAAATAGATAGCATAGGAAAGGAAAGGAAAGGAAAGGAGAGGGAGGTGGGATGAGTCCGAGACGGGGGGAGCACTGTGCCATTTCTTTTATTCGACTCGGGATGGAAATTGGGCTTGTTTGATGTAGCGGATACAGGATAGAAGGGCGATCTAGCAAGCAGGATAGATGGCCAATTGATGATTTGATACAGTATTTCTTTTTTTGTTTTTTCCCTCCTGCCCCTGTGCCCATGCTTTGCTTATCCCTTTTCGAGGTATATGTCGATAATGGTGTTTGAAAAAAGACACAATGAAAGAAAGAGAGATGTGAGGTGTATATTACTTGACTCCTTATCTTGGTCTAAAACACCCCCCGTTTGCAATTGGTCTATACTCTGTCGGCCCATTCACACACAACTCGTCCACATGCTATTCCATCATCCCAGATTATACTTTCTGCCCCTTGGTATCCATCGCTGGTTATTTTCTTCTTCTTCTTCTTCTTCAAGCCCGACCCTTCATGGTAGTACTAAGTAACTTTACGCCTTGGGAACATTCGGCGCATCGCCGGCTACTTCCTCAGCGTGGCGGTGATGTCTATCCTTCTTGTCCCTTTTCCGCTTATCCTCGTCCTTGTCCTTCTTGATAGCGGCCTCGGCCACGAGTTGCTCAAAGACGAGGTAGTCGCCTTCTTCTTCGGGGGATCTCTGGGCCTGCAACGCACAGAGGGGTCAGATAGGGCTTTCTTGGACGGGGTGGCTTGCATTCGCCGCCGAAAAAAAGGAAGGGGAAAAAAAACCATACCTTTAGGAATATATCGCCAATGAGGACGAGCGCCTGCGCACGTTCTAACCGCTTGGAAAGGGGAACCTTTTTATTGTACAGCACACTGTCGCAGACCTCGCGCAGGACGCTCTGGATCTCAAACTTGCTGCCGCGCCATGCGGCCGTGAGGATCTTGCCCGTGACGCGGCGCTCGTACTCGACGCGCTTCTCCTCGGTCCAGTCCTCGCCGCCCTTAGCCTCCATCTTGGCCATGTCCTCGACGGTCTGCTGCGCGTCGAGGGCGCTGCTGATTGTGTTCCAGGTGTCCTTTACCAGGGTGCCCTTGTCCTTGAGGCGGCTGAAGAAGCCGCCTATGCCGAGGAATTTCTGGCTCCGCAGGAGCCCGGATGCTTTGGAGACGTACGTCTGGCCGATGGCGTGGAGAATGTCGATGCCAAATGATTCCATCTTCAGGTTTTCCACCTCGAGGCGCATCTTCTCCTGGAAGGCCCTGGTGACGTCGTCGCCCTTGTCGGTCTCGGTCCACACGCTCACGCGGTCGAGCAGCTTTTCTGCTAGTGTGTCGACTCGCTTCTGGCGGATGGCAGCGCGCTCCTTTTCGTAGGCGGCAAGCTGCTCGCGCTGCTCCTTGGTGAGGCCGCCCTTTTTCTTCTCCTTTTGGCGGAGCTCCTCTTCGGCCGCCTGGATGGATGCTTCGTCGTGGGGTCTGTCGCTGAGCGCGGGTCGGAGGGGGATTTGTGTTCGGTTGCGTGAGGACGAGGACGGCGCGGGGGAGGTGGCATCTGATCGGGGGGGAGGCGTAGGTCCGGCTGCAGTCGCGGGTTGAGCTGTGCCGCTGGGCTTTTCTTCGTCGACGACGACGGTTGGCGGCGGAGGAGCGCCGGGAGCGCCTTGAGCTCCGGCAGCGGCAGCGGCAGCCTCCTTTTCTGCGAACTCCTGTGCGCTCTGCTTCTTGGCCTCTTCGGTGCCGGGGAATTCAACATTCGCTGGGGTCTCTGGCTGGTCCTCGCCTTCGGCCATGGCGATGTCCATGGTGGCCGTGAGGTCCTTCATCAGGCTGATCTCGCCAATCCAGTCCTCGAAGGCCTCGCCGCCAAAGATGGACGTGAAGAACTCGGCTGGATCAGTGAAGCCTTCCTGCGGCTTCGCACGATCCTTGCCGAACTTGTCATATGCCTTGCGGAGCTCTGTGTCGGAAAGGACTTGGTAGGCTTCGCCGATTTCTTGAAATTTTTCGTGGGCGGCGGGATCATTGGGATTCTTGTCTGCAGCGGGTTAGTGGTGGGTTGCGATACGGCTGGGCGCCGAAGAGATGGAGTGGCGTCGAGAACTTGGTGTCTGTCTCTCACGATATACGCCCATATGCACATGGTGGAAAGGCGACTCTACCTGGATGGTGCACAATAGCCAGCTTGCGGTAGGCCTTCTTGATCTGAAGCTCGGTGGCCGTAGGCTGCACGCCCAGGGTATCGTAATAGGCGGTGTCGACGACCATGATGGGCGAAATGAGACGTAAAGCCGCCAACTACCCGAGTAGAGAGAATTCAGGGGGGGCCCAGTTGCAACGTTGACGTGGAAGGGGGACGGTGAGGAAGAAAAAAATAACGACGCTTTCTTCGCCGGTGGCGCGTGTCGCAGATAGGAGGCGAGATGACGAAGTGAGCGAGATGTCAAGTTCAGATATAACTTTGCTTGGCGCCGCCGGCTGTGCTGGCGCCACCAAATGAGCCGAAGCTGCCAACTGCTACGTAATGGCGGGGCAGTGCCGAACTTTTTCTTCCACTGCAGAATGATGCAGACTGGACCAAGCCGGTCGACGTGAACCCGAGACATGCATCCATGCTCACAGCCGCACGCGTACTACAGTCTGTGGCAGCGTGTGTTTGCCGACGTAGAGGTATACACTAATATACTAGAGCATGTGACGCTATAGAGCGCGATAGCCAGGTACCTGCTTACTTATTCAAATACTTTAATGTTTTGCCTCCCACTGCAGTGCACTGGACGAACATGGCACTTGTATCGAACCAGACCTCTACAAAACACCAAACGGCCGTTGGCTCGAGGCACATGTGCAGCCACCAGACGTTCGGGGGCTCGTTGGAGTATTTCGGCCATGTGTGAATGAAGTCACCGGAAACGCGACTTGCATACATTTTGGAAGCCCAACGATGACATACAAAGTGTCATCAACCACACTCAAGCACTTCGTGGAGAAGAACCCTCACTGGAAACGTTTTCTATTGTGATTCATCGTCTTGAACAACATACAAGTAATCAAACTTTGAATCTGGACATCGAGGTATTCTAGGCTTTCAAGATGTATTTCCTTTCGCATCGTGTTCGCTTGGGGTCATGTTCCAGGGTCCAGGGTGCACTGTATTGCTTCAATGTTTTTCCATAACGCACGACAGCAGCTTGATCATGTAGGCTCGTGTGTTTTCCATGTTATGGTTGGCATTCGTGAGGATGAATCATCATCTTTTCAAATATGATGCTATCCAAATGCACGTATTGTCGTCGTATAAATTCGTCACGAGCGTTGCGTAACATTGAGGTCCTAGTTGTAGTCTCCCCCCATACTCCAAATAGGAGAAGAAGGCGATATTAACCTCAATCTCTCCTCATAATATCTCACCAATTCATCGTCGCGTTCCGCTTCTCCTGACCCAACTTCGTACAAGTGGTACATTAGGCGTCGCCTGTCATCCAATTCCGGGTAATCAGTCGACGAGAATATATGTCTCCTCCAAAGAATCAGTGGGAGCAGTCTTTCGTAGCGATTCCTATAGATCTTGAAATACTTCATTGCATGGTAGGGGTCGAATCGCGGCCGATTGTCTGGAGTTCCACGGATGGGAAATGGACAGGGGCGTACATGTCCTTCTCCGGCAAGCAAGAAGGAAATAACATTGTCAAACTGCTGAGAAGTTAAAGGATATATAGTTTTAGGACCTATAACTCGGCCCTCATGAATAAAGACGTGTTTGATCTTTCAGGTCAGCCCGCACCATAGTATGATTCCACGCATTCGAAAAGGGGGGAGAAAAGAAAGAAAGCACCTACATCTGGGCCACAGTCGCATCGATCAAAAAGGACGACTCCTCCAAAGATGACTGTTTCGGCCCAATATCCAACCATGTCAGAAACTCCTTGGGGGTATTGTTGGTGATTGTAGTATTGGTCATGGTAAAATGGAACTGGAGGCTGCAAGCCGCCATCCTTATACTTTTCGTGTCCCTGGTCAAAGAGTGTTTTCTCCTGGGCTAGCCATGAATTATATTCTTTGCCATGTATGCTTCCTCCTAGCTGATAAAGAAACACAGCAATCTGATGCCATGCGACAGCCACAAGCTCTACTAGAGACAGTGCGAAAGCTCTGCTGCCGGGTGCAGAGTCTTGACACGTTTGCAAGACCTCCAGGAAGGCAAGCGTCAGAAAAAGGATGTAGGAATGAACCACGGGGCGGCTCATTTACTTACAGAAGGTTCAAATCGCAGTGAAGAAATGTTAAAAGCAGATCGAAACTGTCGTGTTTGTTCGATAGCCCCTTCGCATATGGCATGGTGCTGAAAAACAGGGTGTCCCAGACGCTTGGAGAAGACATGGAGCTCCAAGAAGGATGAATATGTGGGAAGTCCATCTACGATCTGAGCAAAAGTTTCTTCTGCAAGCCCTGTATTCAGAACATTATCGACTACAGTCTTAAGGGATGTTAAATGGTCCGCATCCAGGTGCTCCGGGGATGTCATCGCCGTCACCTCGGCTCTGACGAGCGATTCTGGGTCGGGCCGTTCAATGACTGGTGGCGGTGGTTGCATATTTCAGGACTCATGGGTAAAAGAAGGTCCCATGATGACAGATAAAGGTCAGCGTTGAAAAGCCTGCGGTTACAGTCATGCATGACGAGTGGCTGTTGGTTGGTTAAGTACCAACACTCGTAAAGCTGAAGCCCCAGACCTATGCGGATGGCTCTTGGGACTCAAAGATTGATGGCATAATTAAGATCATTATTGACCAAACTGTGACGAAGCTGAGGGGATGTAGGGTAAGGCACATGTGGCGATGCATGGTAAGAAGAGTGTCCCATTTCGGCATAATATCAAGTTCACACTAAGAACCTTAGGTACCTGGGTAGTAGGTACTTAAGACTGGGAGTAGAGAAAACCAATCGTCCAGAATGATAGATAAATGCCGCAGTAAGGATATGCAAAAATGCCCGTTGCTACCTCTACTAGTAGTAGTATTTAACACAATCGACGACATAAGGTTTAGTTTGAGCGGCTGAACAAGCGATAAGCTCAACGGCACTTCAGACATGTGCACCAGTACTCCGCACCGGGTGGAGCAGTTAAACTTGACATCGCCGCGTCGCCCTGTTGTCAACTCCCATGCCAGCCATGCCCTTACTTAAATAGATTGGAGGTTACGACGCCACAGCATGCCATTCCCCCAGACATGTGCACGGCACTCGCACTATCCAACCCCTGTTCCTGCTATTTCACGAAAAAGCAGGCATCACAGACATTGCATGTATCACGAGGCTGACTTGTTGGACAGCTGCTCAATCTCGGGACACCCTTGCGTCTTTTCTTTTTGTTGGCCGACATGCAGGCTGTGGATACATGAGCATATTACGATTCTCGCGTGACACGCAGCCTGTTCACGCCCGCCCCGAAGCTGGACGCCACGTTTGAGCCAACATATGGAGTCGTTGCCTACCAGGTCGCTGGGTGTTATTGTTTGCGCTCGTCTTCGATTCACCGCCGCAGATCCCCCCCTCAAGCCTCCACAAGCCCAAGCCTCTGGGTGCTGCTTGGCGACTTGGCTCACCGTGGTGGCACCATCACATGGGACAATAGCTCAAGGGCATCCGCGCCTTGCTCAACACTGTGCTCCGTTTTGGAGGCATACGGAGCAGAACGACAAGGCTGGGCTGGGCAATGTGCCCATTTGGCGTGTCGCGTCTGCGTTACCTTGTTGGCTGACTCGAAGTGGATTGTGAGATTTTAACACGGAAAGGCTTGCACGGAGTAGTTCTTGCTTGCGGCGGCGGGTTGTGGGCTCCTTCCCCGTGGGCTCCTCCCCAGATCTCTCGAGCTGACGCCTGCTTAAATACCTACCTTTGCCCTCTTCGCCCCCCCAGGAGTGGTCAGCCAGGCTGGTCTGATGCTTTCAATGTTCAATCATCCTGCCGGGCTTGCCATCCAGGTGAAATAGACGACTCAAGTCGTCGTTTGGCTTGAGAAGCTTGCGAGCTCCTGCTGCAGGTCTGCGGCGCTACGTCAACCACCATGTCGGCCATCTCATCGATTGTCTCAGCTGCCACCGCGACGCTGTCTTCGCCCACAGCTACCTCCACCCTTCGCGCGTCAAATCAAGGTGGCATTATCGATGGAGCAAACCCCACGAAATACAACCCCAAGGACCCCATTATCCTATTCATTATCCAGGTTCGTGGCCGCGTCTCTGCAATTGACATGCTTCCCGTCATCGGTACCGGGGCCGGATGCCCGAGAAACTGAACTAATGACTGACATTGCATTAGACGGTGCTGATCGTCACCGTGTGTCATCTCCTGCATTGGCCATTGTCAAAAATTCGACAACCTCGGGTCATCGCTGAAGTTGTCGGTGGCATTATTCTCGGTCCCTCGGTCATGGGACGTATCCCTGGCTTTCGACAGGCCATCTTTCCCGACGCTTCGTTGCCCAATCTTTCCAATGTCGCAAACCTAGGATTGATTTTGTACTTGTTCCTTATCGGACTCGAAACCGATGTCCGATTTCTGATTAGCAATTGGCGAATCGCGACCTCTGTTGCCGTTGCAGGGCTGGCTCTTCCTTTTGGCGTTGGCTGTGCGCTGGCATATGGTGTGTATCATGCATTCCGCAGTGACGAGGGATTGGTCCCAATCAAGTTTGAGGTCTACATGCTCTTCATTGGTATCGCAGTTGCAATCACGGTACGTCTCCGCATAAACCGTCCTGTCGGTGTTGGTGCCGTTTTCCCGCCTTGCTGACCGAGTTCGCCGCGCTCAAGGCCTTCCCGGTCCTGTGTCGTATTTTGACGGAGCTCAAGCTTCTTGATACCAACGTCGGCGTCATCACCCTCTCTGCTGGTGTTGCAAATGATGTCGTCGGTGAGCTTTGCCAAACCATCCTCTCTCCGACGGATATTTGAGCTAATTACAATGGACAGGGTGGATTCTCCTTGCCCTGTGTGTGGCGCTTGTAAATGCTGGTTCAGGCCTGAACTCGCTTTGGATCCTACTTTCTGCCACTGGGTTTATGCTTCTCCTTTTAATCGTCGTCAAACCTTCTCTTTTGTGGCTGCTGCGCCGTAATGGAAGCCTCGAACATGGTCCCTCGCAGAGCATCATCTCGCTCATTCTTCTGATTGCCCTGGTCTCTGCCTTCTTTACGGGCATCATTGGTATTCACCCTATTTTCGGCGGCTTCATGGCCGGGCTCATAATTCCTCGCCAGGATCGATTCAATATCCGTGTTACGGAAAAGCTCGAGGATCTTATTGGTGCTTTGTTCTTGCCCCTTTACTTCACCCTCTCCGGTTTGAATACGAATTTGGGACTGCTCGATTCAGGAGCCGCCTGGGGATACGTATTCGCTACCACGTTTGCAGCTTTCTTTTCCAAAATCATCGGCGCGTCCGTGGCAGCTCGATTTAGTGGATTGGTTTGGAGAGAATCGTTTTCCATTGGTGTCCTCATGAGCTGCAAGGGTCTTGTTGAACTCATTGTACTGGTGAGTCTTACCTTTCATGATAAAGTTGTTCAAGTCATACGTTGGCAACTGACGCTGACATATTTTGTTTAGAATATTGGCTTGCAAGCCAACATTTTGAGTACCAGAACATTCACCATCTTTGTCGTCATGGCTCTTCTCACCACGTTTGCCACGACGCCGATAGTGACCGTGCTATACCCTCCTTGGTACCAGCGGAAGATTGCCGCATGGAGACGGGGGGAAATCGACTGGGACACTGGTGCGCCCATTTCCTCTGCGTCTAGCTCCGAAGGTCCCAAGGACGACTCCTCCCTTGGCCTCGAAAGGGTGAACCGCCTACTCGTCTACCTTCGTCTCGACAACATGCCTTCTCTCCTGCGCCTTCTTTCCATGTTTGGCGACCCCTCCACACCGAGTAGCACTCCCACGCCTTCAGATACAGGAACTGATGAGATTCACGACGTTTCTACTACACCCCCTTCCCGGGACAGGGCTGTCTGGGCCCATGGCATCCGTCTCCTCCAGCTTACCGATCGTGACTCTTCCGTAATGACAGTCGCCCAAGTTGACGATTTTAGCCGCCATGACCCTGTAGTTAACACCTTCCGGACCGTTGGACAGCTGCACAATCTCTCAGCGTCCGGCGAAGTCGCCATCATGCCCGAAACTCGATTTGCAGAGGCTCTTGTCGCCAAATCATACAGCATGGCTTCAGATCTCCTCCTTGTTCCTTGGACCGAAACTGGGGACATGGGCGATTCACAGATTTTATCATCTACCAGCGTCAACGACAAGATTGGGTCTTCGTACGGATCCTTTGTTAAATCAGTCTTTGACTCACACGACCGAAACGTGGCCGTCTTCTTTTCTCGTAGCGATCCTGTCGCCGGAGGCAAAGCCAAGAGCGAGGAGCGTGCCAAACTCATGCGCCAGTACTCATTTGGTACATTGAAGGAAGACTTACCGATTGCCCCGGGATCTAACAAACCATACCACATATTACTACTCTACTTTGGCGATGAAGACGACAGACTTGCTCTTCACCTCGTTATCCAGTTGTGTGAGAAGTCCAGAGCAACAGCCACTATTCTTCGTGCTCGTTCTTCTGTAGGAGCATCCAACTCTGCCGGGGATGCTCTATTCGAAAGGGCATCATCCCAATTACCCGCATCCGTGGCACCAAGGGTCAATTTCAAGACAGAAACGGGCCCATCTACTGTCGAAGAACTCGTCCAGTACGCAACAACAGAGACCCAATCAGACGTTACTGAGTCCAAGGCAGGCCCTAAGCTGGTCGTCGTCGGTTGCAGGGTGGCCGCCAAGCTGGACGAGGGTAAGCTGACGCACAGGTCGAGGGAGGATCTGGTACTTTGCCTGGGCAATCTTGCAGGAAATTTGGTTGCAGGGGGTGTGAGGGCTGATTTGTTGGTTGTACAAGCCAAGGCTGCCGAGAACAAGTGATGATGTGCGACGAGGTATTATTGCATGTTTTGATATGTAACGAGCTGTAACCGATCTTGATGACCTAGTACCATTGCGCGTGGGAGAATATCATAGCCACTTTAGAATAGTCATCTTTCTGTGACCGTCGCCGTACGGAGTGTCTTTTGAGAAATGTTTGTAAAGGATATTCAATTCTATTTATATATATATAAACTACGTCTAACGCATCGTGATGCGTGTACTCAAGGTCTATTGCGTGGTTTGTTGCTGTTTCTTGACCTTGGTACGTCCAAAAGATAGCGTTACTAGATGTCTTACTCACATGATCAATCTGGTTCATTATTATTATTATTCTAAATTAACTGAATGATATATAAGCAACTAATCCGGAGTTCTACGCTTTTATCGTTCCACGTGAGACACTACCAATTGCGAATCGTACGAGCTTTCATGACGGGCTGTATTACTCCTGAAGCCGTACGGCTGGCCAGCTCGACGTATTTTAGGTTGATGGTTCACATATGTATGTCAAATAGGCAGAAAAATGGAGGTGTCGCAAGCATCACACGTACACGCCGCCAAGTATTCCACTCACAAGGCCTCGCAATAGCATGAAAGCCATGCCTTGGATACTCATGTCTCACTCTTTGAGAGGCCAGGGCTAGCTAGGCCAGTACTAGGAACAGGCAACACAATGTTTTTGCAGTGGCGTCTGACCTGATTTTCTGGGCGCGTCAGAAGATCCAAGACAAGCTCGCAATACCCGCGGTTCACGACAGACAGCAGCCCCTGGGTCGTTCTATGATGCCTCTTGTCGGAAGCTGTAGCGTGGGCTGTTACCGCTTCACATACCCGGGTTCCAGGCTCGCGGGACGACGGCAGTGCTCTTTTGGCCGAGGGGAGTCGGACGAAATTCGTGGAGTTTTTGGCGCGCTCATGGGGAAGGGGGGGGGGGGGAACGCTGTCTGAAAGGGCTCCGATGGCGTAGAGCGAGCCTGGCTATCTATACCTTGACGGGTGGGATGGCGCGTTTTCAAATAATCTTGCACTGCGGGGTGAGTGAAGTACAATGTGGTTGCTGCTTTAACCTGGCATATATGGAGCATTCGTGAAGCCGTAGAGAGGTGTATATACTCGTTGAGGTGAGAATTTATACGGATGACTTCTGGGCTGCATTATAGCTACTTGGCCGCGGGAGGTGATGCATTTATTGTCTACTGGATGATTCTTTGAGCTATTTTCTTTCTTTCAATTTTTTTCTTATAAATTTCATCACTATCATACTAGTACATATTTCAACAACCGTCTTATACAATGACTGTTTTGTATATATGGTATCTATAATAATTCCTCATGGCTGATGCACCCCCTCACGACGGTTCTTGTTCGTTCATACCACTTGTTACAGTAAGACTTAAAAGTAGACGGCCAACTCCCTCCAGCACAAATTAGTCCATTAGGTGCCGTTAACGAACATAGGATATAAATCCAATTTAAAAAACAACGGTTGAATTGGGTATGCTATTTGTTAGGAGGTCTTGACGGGCTCCTCCCCGTTGAGGTCGTGGGTACCATTGGAGCCACGGTCGGCGTGGGTGACAGCGTAGTCGTCCTCGCCGCAGAGCTCCTCGAGTGTCTTGCGAGCAGTTTCAGGAATGAGCAGTGTAGTGAAGCAACCGAGCAACATGAAGAGAGCGTAAATCTCCAAGACGTGGTCCATCCAATTTTGGCCATTGTGCGTCTTCAGAGTAGAAATGGCACCCTGGCCAATGATGGAACCAACCTTGCCAGAGGCGGCAGAGATACCGTGGGAAGTAGAACGGTATCGGGTTGGGAATACTTCGCCGGGAACAATGAAGGTTGTGGTGTTGGGGCCTGGCAAAATGTTAGTAATCTAAGATATTCTTGTTCTTCTAAAGCGTTAATTACGAGGCAAAGCATTCGACTTACCAAAGTTGAAGAAAAACTGAGCAAGGACATAAATAGCCAACAAGCCGTTGGAAGAGATGTGGTTGTAAGCAAAACCCATGACGACGAACAGAATGGTGAGGATGATGAAGCCACCAAGCTGGATAGTTTTGCGGCCAAGGGTGTCGATGGTGGCGACAGAGACCCAGTACCCTGGCACAGCACCAGCCAAAACAATAATCAAGTTACCAATAGCGGTATTGTACAGGAACTGGTACACGTTGGCGACGGACTTGCCGCTGGTGGCGAAACCAATGGTCTGGAGAATCTGAGCGTTGTTCAACGAGAGACCGTAGAAAGCGACATCGAGGCAGAACCAGGAACCAGCAGTCCCGAGCAGGAGAAGAAAGTTCTTGGGCTTGGCATAATGGCGAGAAAAGTCACCCCAGCTGGCCTTGGGGACCTCGAGGTTGTCCTTGGCCTGCTGAGCCATGGTGGCGCGGGTGACCTCGTCAGGCTCGCCTTCATGCTTTCCGGTCATGTAAGCCTTGACATCGTCGCCGGCCTTTTCGACATCGCGAGCAACATCGAAGGTATAACGAGGGGTTTCTGGGATGGTGAGACGGACTATAAAAATATTGGATTAGCTTCGTATCATGGGGCAGCGACGGCTTGTTTGCCAGGCTGACTCACAGTAAAGGGCAATGCAAGCAGGAACAGCACCAAAGCCGATCAGAGTACGCCACATCTTGTCAACAGCAACCTGACAGTCGCCAGTGCAATGCTGCTTGTCCTTGGCGCCCTCAAGAGAACCCTTGAAACCGAGGGTAACGAAAAGCATGACAAAGGCAGCGCAAAGCTGGCCAAGACCCTGCATGGCAAACACAGCAGCCATCATGGCGCCTCTCCACTTGGTGGTAGCGAATCTAGGTGATTGGATTAGCTGCGTTAAGAACTTGCGAGAACTTGTCTGTATCGCATTGGGGGAACCTACTCGGAAGTGATAATGGAGGACAGAGGATAATCACCACCAATGCCAATGCCCATGATCACGCGCCAGAAAATGATGAGACCAATGATGTCACAAGCGGGAGAACCAGAGGTCAGAGCCTGGCCGATTGTAGCAAAGATAATGACGATAAGTTCGAGACCATACATCTTCTTACGACCGACCAAGTCGGCCAACATACCGAAACCAAGCTGGCCAACAACAGTTCCGGCAGAGGTAGCCAGCTTGATGGCGTTATCAGAGCTGGTAGGCATAGCTCCGACGCCAGGGTAGTAGACTATTCCCAACATGGTGGTCAAGAGAGAGGCCGTGAAGATGTCGTAGGAATCAGTGAAGAAACCAACACCGGCGACAACACAAGCGCGGACATGGTACCAGCCGAAAGGGGCCTTGTCGACCTCGGCGAGGGCGAGACGACGACGCTCGTTGAGATCGGAGACGTGTAAAAAGTCATTGTGGAAGTTGTGGTAGGCACTGTTACCTCCAGACGTCTTGGCGACAACTGATGGCCCGTTTCTAGACATGATGGCCTCGTAGCTGTCGAAACGTTTGCTGTACCGGGAAGGAGATGAACTCGTCTCAATAGGATATAAGTCCACTCGTTTGTAATGAAACAAGGCAGAGTAGAGCTATATGAGTTCTTGCCGAGGAAAGAATAGAAGCTTGGCACAGGACAGGCGAAGAAGAGAAAAGGGAAAGGGATGGGCATCAGCCACCAGGGCAGCTTATATTCAGACTACACTTTGAATGCGGCATCAAAAATGGCTTTTCGACTAGTAATCTCGAACCGCGACATCCACTTGCAAAGAGCACATGGGAGGCTCGGTGGACGAAAATCGCAGTTCCATGTCAGCATCCTTGTTGTTAACTCGCCGCGGAACAGCCTCGGACGAATGCGTAGGAGAATGCACTTGGTACTCCGTAATAGGGTTTTTTTCTCTCTTGTTTCCCACTCTCACTCGCCTGTGGAACGCCTCTCAACATCAACCAACAACCATTGAGGATGCTCGGTCGGGGTGGATGTGCCTGGGTTAGGCCTCGCGTGATGAGTCGAAATGGTGCTTCGGTATCGACCACTTATACGGGATGTCGTTGGATGCGGGCCAATCAGAGAGCGGGACTGAAACACGTTCTCACGCATCGCCAAGTAACTTGGCGATGGCTTGGCGATTGGCCCCGGGGAGGCGTTCCTAATCGGTTTGGCCCAGGAAGTACTGGCATAGTTGTGGTCGTCGTTTGCACCTGGGGGCTGAAGCCACTTTTGTGTAGTGTCTGGGAACTGGGTACTAATTGATGGTCGATGAAGATGGGGGATGAGCTGGGGTCATGGGAAAAGTTGCCGGCTTGGCACTTGGCATGACATTTGTGGCGATTCCGAATTGGGCGACCGAAGATCAAGGACGGCGGTTTGTCGCCAACGGCTCTGTTGGACGAGAAAAAGCCTGATGACCAAATTGATGATTTTGCAAAGCTGTCTGCCTGAAATTATCCAGGCAGTGCGACATGTTTCCATAGCCCGGTCAAAGTTGAGACACGGGAACCAAGAATAGATCAAGCCCAGCCTGGCTACCGGGAGGAATGTTTGCGCCATCGAAGCAGAGACGACGAGACGACGAGCCGCTGGATGGCCCGTAGAAGAGGTCTTATTACTTGGAATGAACTATACGGAGTAACAAGAACAAGTCTATTTCTGTGCTTACCTTGGCCTCGGCTAGTTTAGTCCACTAGCTCCGGCCAGTCGGTCGCGCTTGCCAGGGTCGCCCACAGAAGGTGCAGATGGAGCCTCCTTCCTTCCTACGGCTGTGCGGAAGCGCGGAAGTACCTTGTGGCTCCAACCTGGCGCACGTGTGGGTTCTTGCGCTAAAAACACCAACACCATGATTTCAACGGATCCAGAACGCGCCACGATCTTCTGCCTTCTGCGTCTCTTGCCGCAAGCCCGCAGACACATGCTCACTTCTCTAGAAACCAATCACAGCAGCCCCATTGCCATCATTTGGTCGTTATTCCCATCCATCCTTGTCTCGGTCGCAAAGCTGATGAGCTGTCTCCATTGTCACCCCGGGCTAGCAACACCCATCTCTTACGCCACCAGACATCCTCTCCACTGCTTCTGTTGCTTTTGAGCGACTGTCGCCCTGTCCTCCCGCCCACGTGCATCGGCCTGCCATTCTCAGGGTCCTTAGCTGGTAAGCTCCCACGCGATATATTTCCTGCACTAGCCTCACATTGCATTGCATGGCAAGCCGATCTATCCGAGAAGTCACTCTGCCTGTTGCATTTGACATGGTTCAAGTTTAAAAGTTTTTTTTCTGTATTCTTTTTACAGAACAGTGTTTACTACAGTTCAGCTATTCTTCCATCTGGAGGTGATGTCTTTTGATGTGTGCCTTGCTGTCTGTGCGGTTCTTATCTAACGTCTTATTTTGGTGTCAATCAAGATGTCCTCCACCATGGCGGTTCAAACGCCTGCGAAACCATCAATTGCAGCAAATGGCGCCAGCAATCACGGTGGACCTCCTTCCTTGACCTTTAGTGTCGTCACCAAGGAGGTCGAGAAGCAGGATGCGATGAGACTAGTCGCCGACAGTATTGCACAGCAGCGACAAACCGCTTCCTTCTCCGTCATCGTTCATCCCGCATGTTTCGTGGGCTTGGTTGCAGCTTGCACCGCCATTTACCGGCAAAATGCGCACCGCGACTTCGGAACTGCTCTCGTCATGGTTTGCGGGCTTGTAATTGCCTACCTGGCGGGCGTACGGCTCCTGACGGCAAATTATATTCGACTCGCCGAGAGCTTGAAGTGGAAAGAATGGATCGCCAGTCCTGAAGGCAAGGAGGACTATGTTCTTGCTGCACGGTATGGCGACGAACTTATTGCGACTACCGTCTTACGGCTGGTGGCTCCAGCTGGATCAACCAAGAAGACGAGATCATCCTCGGTGAAGGGTGGCAGCGGAGTTATCCGTGCCTGGACCACCAAGTACAGATATCGCAACAAGGGCATTGGAGGGGACATGCTGCGCCTTGCTATCTTGACGACCCGAAGCAAATGCGGCGACGATGCACAAGTGACATTTGACCCAGACCACGCGAACAGCGCCCGTCCCCTTCATGACATGTTCAACCGACCCTTCATCAAGCGAGAGGAGAGAGCAAAGAAGGCGTTGTCTCATGCACTAGAAGCCTGCGATCGGGGAGAGAGCAGCTTCCAGATGGAGTAATGTTTCAAATTATGCGAGAGTCTGAGTTGGATAGCTTGAACTGATGAAACTGTGATGGAGACATGTATAAACATATAAACGGTCATGTGGGCTTAGAACAACTTTTTAATGAGATACCCGATGAAAAATCAGCCACTTATCCTTGAGTACTACCGTTGATATTTATCTATCATGACTCTTAATCATGCGTGCTATCGTGTTTCTCCAAGTCAACGATGCGTTGCACGCCTCTCATTTTCGGCCAGTCGTAAACATGATTCATGACTAGGTTCTTCATCATTCTACTACCCAAATACGCAGCATTTGCATGTCCTTCTGACATGACCATATTCAAGTCGAGGAAACAAAATCTCACCAAACGGACTCATCATACAAAACCAACGCAGTGAAAACAAATACATACCTCATCTCAAAATATCCATAACAACCTCGCGTTCACACCACCCCATCCCCCCTATATACTAGTATATACACGCCGCCCCAAATACCAAACACACCGCCCTACAACTCAGATCTCTCCTTCCCCTTCTCCTTCTCTTCTCTCAAGGCCTTCAAAGCAAACAGCTCCCTCGGCCGCCCGGCAGCATCGCAGCTCGAAAACCTCCACCGCGGGCCGTGCCTCATCCCCACCAGATTCACCATACTCCACCGAACGGCCTCGGGCATGCGCGGCCAGTTCCTCCACACGCCGCCCTCAAACGTCCGGTCCGTGTTGAGCAGGAAGAACGGCAGCACGTCGACGTACCCGGCCTTTGTGACGGTGTTCTTCCCCCACGCCTTGAGCATGTCGCCCGCCAGCGCGCCCCGGAGAGACTCCCGCGCCGGCGCGTTCTCGTGCGCCGCCATGGCCGCCATGACGGCCACCTCATTGTGCAGGTGCGCCGAGAGGTCCGCCGCAAACGAGTCCATGACCCCGAGGAGGGCCCCGGGGTCATACGCCGTCGCGTCGGTGGTGTTGAGGAGTGCCTGGAAGGCAGCGAGCCCGGGCAGGAAGGATTCTGCGAAAATATCAGCGTCAGCATGGTATGTGCCCTGCGTGCAACAACAAAACATGGGCGTCTCTCGCGAGTAGTGAGTACCGTGCTCCTGCGTCATGTTGCCCCAGATCCCGTCGTCCCTGAGTATCCCGGCCATGTCCGGGAACAGCTTGGCCTCCTCGTCGTCGTGGTGCGACACCAGGAACTTGTGCCACGTCAGGGCGTACGCCGCAAAGTCGGGCACGTCGTCGCCCCGGACGTGCGGCGCCTGCAGGTAGATGGAGTTGTAGCCGCGGACGATGGCGTTGTGCAGGAGCGCCATGTGCGTGGCCGCGGTGGTAAAGAGGTCGTTCTGGCAAAAACGGCCGCGTCTCCTGTCAGCCACCTCCGTCTCAACTCACTAGACTGGCGGGGAGACAAACCTTTTGGTGCAGCGTCCACGGAGTATCGACTAGCTTCAGTGGTCCATCTGCCCACGCGCCGGGGGGCGGTGCTCCGCGGTCGTGGAAATACGGCGACCGGCGAGAGAACAGGTTCGCGCCGAGGAAGACGTAGAATACTATTGCGATGAATCCGGCCGACCACATCTCGGGCAAGGGCAGGAGAAACACACTTCACACTTCAGTCACGGCAGTCTGAAGTCCTGCAAGTGCAGAATGAGTTTTGAAAAAGAGTGAGTGTGAGGATGAAGCTTCATCCTGGGTTGTGCAGATAAGGTCTCGAGAGTCGGCCGATGTTTAGCTAATAGGGGACTTGTGATTGGTGCTTGCCCCGGATCGGAGGGATCTGGTGGTTCGGTAGTGGGTTGATCAGTCTGGGGTTGAGCCGCTGTCCGTAGTAGTAGTACTAGTATTACGGTTCAAGTTTAATTGACACTAAAAAGGCCGATTAGACCGGGCACCGGGGTTAGTAGCGATGCAATGACCGGTGCTGATTTAGATTGTGCCAATGTTGAGTCTATACGCGGTGGAGCGTATATTCCCCGTTACAGCGGTTGTCAAAATGATATCACCTGTTAACAATCAGCCCGGCTTGTGTCTTGTTCCTATGGCTACGAATCAATAGAAATAGTCCAAGTAGAAGACTTATTCGATTCAAGTAAACGACATAAACTAAATGCATTATGCTGTTCCATAGCATTCCGTGTATGCATGCATCTACCACACTTTTGTAAACTCCATCAGACCCCGTCGCTAATCTGTATAAACGCCAGCTAGGGCCAAAAAAAAACATACGAATGCAAATGCGTTTTCTATCTTGCTGAACAATCCACTTGATAAATGTCCTGGACTTGGCACCAACTATGCAAATGCACCCACAATGGCCATCAGCAGAGAACCGGCAACCACAGCTAGATACGCCTGAAGACGCTTCTTGCCCTTCAGGACGCGATAGCTCTTCTCTGTCAGGAAGTCTTCTGCCAGGAGCTGTACCAGGCCCGCATATAGCAGGAGCCCCGACGAGATAGCATTCATAAATCCCACCACCAAAAGGCCGCCCATGGACGCAGGGTCATACATCTTGTGGACAATCAGGCCAATCGCCTGACCAAGGGGCGTTGTGAAGCCATAGGCTAGAACCATGAGCCACGGCCGGATCGAATTCTTGGGAAACGGTACAGCAGCAATGCGGCTGCCTAGAGCAAGACCCTCAAAAGACTGGTGGAAGCTGATGGCGATTAAGAAGACGACAAATGCTGGTCCGGTGGCTACAGAAATCGCCATTCCAATAAAAACGCTGTGAAATAAAATACCAGCTTCAAGTAGAAGGCACTGCAGAAGTTGTCGTCTCGTCTCTTCCGGTGACGACGGATGTAGAGTCGGTTCCGAGGGGTCCGTCCGAGTCCCAGGCTTTGTTAACGAGGCATATGCACCATTGTGATTGTGATTGGCGGGAGCAGGGTCCAGTTCATCCATGTCGAGTTCCAAGTCGGAATCGCCTTCATTGAACTCGTTTTCTGCGGAGGCGCGTCGGTGTATGGTCGCGGTAGGCGTGGATTCGGGCACCGGTGACACCCCGGCCACAAGGCCCTGCGCAGCCTCCGTGTCGTCACCCAAGGAGATATCCCGCGGTCTGTGATTTCTCGGTCGGCTCCCAGACATGCCGGGGTGATCGTGAAGCGGTACATCTTGAAACTCGCCACCGCCGTCGCTTTCGTCGCTATCAAAATAGTTGTGCGCGTGGGAGTGCGAATGGCCGGCACCGCGAGCGGTCAAGTAGGATTCGACGCCGACAACCATGATAGCAGACACCATGGCCACGAAGCCAGGAAGTGGAGTATAACCTTGACTGAAGAAATAGGGCAAGCACGGATCGGTTAGAGATTCGAATGCCATCGGGAGCAGATGCACAAATGCTGTAGCGAGCAGCACTCCGGTCCCGACATGTTGGCAGTAGAAGATGATGGTTTTCTGTCGTTTCCCGGTCGTCGCGCGCCGTGATATTAATGGGAATCCGCAAGCTTTTGGAACCGTCAGGTCAGTCACCAAAACTCCAAGCCTGGACGGATGTAGCTTGCAACTCCCGAGAACCCGGACTCATCATACCTAGTGTACTCAGCGTCAAGATCAACAGCAACGCAAAGACGTGCGCCGCAGTATCATACCACCCAGTTTCCTTGCTACCGCAAGCTGGTCTCTCGCCGTCTTCTTTGCGTCGTTGGAGCTCTGCGAGTAGCAGCTTTGTGGAAATCGCTGACCATTGCGGATCTGGAGAGGGAACATGGTTAGTCTTGGGTTTGGAACCCGACGATGGTTGCACCTTGAGCTCACCAGCCATTGTGTCGATGCCGATATGGTCGCCAGACTAACTACTGCGTTGCGGAACTGCAGCTCGTCTCATGGCGCATCGAGGGAACAAGAAACCGACAAAGGATGAGAAAGCTCAACTTGGGAGGCCAGGTGGACTGTACATTGTAGCGTCAGCACTGGAACTTCCATGTCTGCATAAGTATGTACTCCGTACACCGTACTTGGATCCCCGTTGTAAGCCAAGCGCAAGGGGCCAACTGGTTTGGGCTATTGTTCCAAGGGCAGTGCTTTAGTGTGGGGCTGCTCCGGACATGTCTGGTACATAGAGCGCGCCCAGCCCCCCTGGGGTGACTCAGGTACTGCACTGCCAACAGCCCCGCCCTGTGCTTGCTTTCGCATTGAGTGAGCAAGTTTCCGGGGGTGCTACTTGTTCACACGTGCACCTTGTTGGGCCGAACTGCTCAAGCTTGGTATCAATAATATGCCACAGTCCACATACTGATCAATGCTAGTCATTTGTGGTCAAACAAGCCAAATATTGGCCACAGGTTGCTTGAATGACCAAGGTTCTGACGGATTGATCTTGGAAACACGCCGTCCCACATCAAAACTGCCTTGGGCCTGAATTACACGCCTGGTTGCGCAGGAATTTTACCATTCCCGCCGTCAATGGCAAAAATTTATTGTTAGTCGACCTAAAACAACTTCATGGGCGGCGGTATGCCAAAAAAAAAAAAAAAAAGGCTGGAAGGCTGAGGCCTTGGACGGTGTGCTCATATGCGATTAAACAAGCCATCGTTTTTAGCGTCCAAATAGTCAGTTAACCAATTTTGACATAACACGGGGACATTGGCAAATCCGGGGTGAACATGAGTGAACTTTTTATCATTAACTTCATAAAGCATTCCGACACGTGGTATCTTTACAAAAATCTCCAACACACACTCCGATTTATCGACCAACTCGAATAACACCAGCAGCCATGAGCTTCTGGATCTTTGACCGAACACCCGGGTTCTTCATGTGTTCCTGAAGTGCCATGGGGTTGGACTGGGCCTGCTGCAGGATGGACTGCATGACAGGATCTTGCATGATGCTCATGATCTAATCTCGAAATGTCAGCATGGCCAGAGAAATATCAAGGGGCCGGGGCTAGCTAGATAAACTTACATCTGGGTCCTTCATCAATCTCTCCCGAGTCTGCTCTTCAGTCTCGTTATCGCGGGCAGAGTACATGGCGTTCAGTGCCTTCTGCTGCTGTTGCTCGATTTCACGAGCATTGGCATTATTGTGGAACTCCTGGTCAACCTGGGTGGCATCAGTGCAGGCATCCACGCAGTCTGAGTACTTGCGCATGCCGAAGAAAGCCTGAGCCTTGCGAATGTATGCTCGGATGAACTTGGGGTCTTTCTTGATGGCCATGTTGCAGTCATCCACAGCACTAGGAAACTCAAACAGCTTGACAAAGGCCGCAGCACGGTTGCTGTAGCCCCGAGCATCATCGGGGGCACGCTTGATCATCTCCGAGTACGCTTGGACAGCCCCAGGGAAGTCATTCTCTTTAAACTTCTTGTTACCCTCCTCACGAGCCTCCTCAGCCTTGACAGGGTCGATGTATGCATTCTTTTCAGCCTCAACCTTCGCTTTCTCCGCAGCCCGCAGCTTGTTCAAAACATCGGGTGTGCGGTGCTCAGTCAAGGATTTGCTGTAATTCTCAACAGCTTGGGCCATGTCGCCCTTCTTCTCGTAGGCAGAACCGATACGGGCATAGCTCTTCGCAATAAGTTTGTATTCGGCATAGACGGAGCGACCCTCCTCAACAGCCTTGGTGCAGGTTTCAATGCACTTGTCGTAGTCACCCTTTTCGAAGTAGGCAGCCCCCAGGTTGTTGAGGTAGGTGATATCCTGGAAGATGTCCCAGGCTTTAGAGTAGTGCTCAATGGCCTCGTCAAACTTGCGCTTCTTGTAGTTCTCGGTGCCTAGAAGCTTTTCCTTGTCGGCCTCCTCCTTTTTCTTCTTCTTTTCCAGTGCCTCCTCATCGAGTTCCTCGGGCTCGGGTTCAGGTTCGGGGGCTTTGGCGGGCTCAGGCTTCTTGGGCTCGGGAGCATCGGGCATGTTTGTGTCACCTCGGGGATCCGTATCACGCACGTCCATATCGACTCCCATCAAGACACCGAGAACCTGGATCATTCTGGGGTCAGTGAAAAGATCCTGGGGATTTCCTGGATTCTGCTGCATCTGCTGCAGCTTGGCCATAAAGGAGGGATCTGCTAGAAACCCGCTGGTCTTGGGGTTTTTGGCAAGCTTCTGGATCAGATTCGGGTCTTTGAACATCTGTCCGAGGCCTCCGGTAGGGTCTGCTCCAAAACCACCAGCTCCGCCTAATAAACATCAAGTCAGTTGTGGTCCGGGGTACAAAGGTATATGCGTGCCATTATTTATTTGCGTACCTGCTTCATTTTGCATAGCCTTCTCGACAGAAGCCAAGCCACTCTTCAGCTGAGCATTGTTGGCATCTAGCTTCAGACCCTCGCTATAGGCATCGTTGGCCCCGAGCAAGTCGCCCTTTCCATGAAGAGCAGCACCCTTTCGGCCCCAGCCCTTGGCCCAGTCAGGCTTAATCTGGGTAGTTTTCTCGGCATCGGCCAAAGCATTGTCCCAGTCCTTTTGGGATGCGTAGGCAGCAGATCGGTTGCTGTACAGGATGTGGTTCTCGGGTTGGAGGGCAATGGCCTGGGTGAACTTGTCTCTGCAGTAGCACAAAACGGGTTAGCTTTAATTGCTGGCAAATCTTTACCGTACAACAATACGACGAGCATTATTGGGGGCTATGGTTA